ACACGGGGTATCATCGAGCGACCTAGACGTCCATCACTTCTTTGACGTCCCAAATCCAGTAAAGCCCATCGCTGCCATCATATCGTCTTCGTCATGTTCGCCATCAACACGAACGTCCTCTCCATATTCCATCTTCACCCTTGCCTCCCCCTTCTTTTTTATCCTCTTCCTTTCATTATCCTCTCTTCTCTTCTTCCTTCGCTCTTCGGCTTCTTTCTCAGCCTCTTCTTCTCGCAACTGTAGTCGTTCGTGCAGGCTAGTCTGCTTCTCCTTCTCCAACTCGTCTCGCCGTCGGATGTAGTACTCAATACGTTCGTGGACTTCCTCTGCCGTCGCGCGCTTGACTTCAGTCGTCTGGCCTGTATTTATCAAGTGCTGTGGTGTGTTGAGATGCTCGATGTATTGCTTGTTGTCTTTGAACGTGAGATCGCAAGGCTCACAGTAGAAACCAGCTCCTCGGCCACGCTTTCCGACGCCTGCACCTCCGGGGACAAGCTGTGTTTTTCCGATTTGTTGTGTGAGGTCTATAACATTCCGGCGTGCTGATGTGTATGTTTCGTCGCCCGTTAGAGGCTTGTGGTATTTCTTGCCTGCAAGCTTGGCTTCATAACGCGCCTTGGACTCTTCTTTTTCTTTTGCCTCGCGTTCATTGGCTCTCGCAGCGTATTCGTCGAGATCATAGGTCTTTCGAAAATCGGTATCGCCTGATGGCGCGCCACCATAGGCGCCTTTCTTGGAGTCGGACATTGGGTTATAATAATATGTGAAGAGCAAAGCGTATAGTTATAGACTGATCATGGATGATAAAAGTTGGGGCGTGATCATAGTGTAGAATTTATACCAAGTCTAGCCAAAAGTAGACTCACAAGAAAACAGTGTGTAACTTAAAACCATAGTCTTAAAATGCGATTTCGTTTCTCGCTTCTGCATTACAAGCTATAATTCATCTATATTATGCTCGCGTCGACTATGAAAACTTTAGCATTGGGTCTGTGAGACATACTGAGCCCTCGACTTTTCTTCGAAACCCGCTGCATCGTCCTGGTGCTAAACATGACCTGACCCGTGCGATTTATCCCAGGCCAGAATTGCTTTAGAGCGACAGGGGTACTTGGCATGAGGTCACAGCAACCTTAGGAAGCGCTAAAAATACCCCGCCGCGGGGCAACTCTTTTTTTGAGTCGCGACCTGGGGACAATTTTTCACCACGAAATACCACTGCGAGAGTCAGACGTAGAAGGATCACAATGTTATACCTCGTGGGACTTGGTCTCTCTGACGAGACAGATATTACTGTCAAGGGTCTTGAGGTCGTTAAGAAAGCCTCCAGGGTCTATCTGGAGGCTTATACTAGCATTCTGCTTGTCGAGCAATCTGTCTTGGTACATGCCACCATTCCCTAACCCAAGAGCCAATACTAATTATGCTAGGAATCGTACTATGGACGGTCCATCACTGTAGCTGACCGTGAGATGGTTGAGTCAAACAGCGACGAGATCCTCCGAAATGCGCAGAACGAAGATGTTGCGTTCCTTGTAGTTGGAGATCCCTTCGGGTACGATCTAGTGATCCAACTTGCAGCTGTATACTGATACGTCACAGAGCTACCACTCATACGGATCTCGTTCTTCGAGCCCGGGAACTCGAAATCCCTGTCCGAACCGTTCCCAATGCCTCCATCATGTCCGGGATTGGTGCATGCGGTCTACAGCTCTACAACTTTGGACAAACCGTGTCCATGGTTTTTTTCACTGAGACGTGGAAGCCCGCATCTTTCTACGATCGGATAAAGGAGAACCGTCAAATCGGCTTGCACACGCTAGTCTTGGTCGATATCAAGGTTAAGGAGCAGAGTCTCGAAAATATGGCCCGAGGTCGTCTGGTCTATGAGCCTCCTCGCTACATGACTGTTGGCCAATGTGCACAGCAAATGCTAGAGATTGAGGATGAGCGTAATGAGGGTGTCTATACCAAGGACAGTCTGGCCATTGGCGCTGCTCGCGTGGGAGGTAAGACGGAGAAGTTCGTGGCCGGTACTTTGGAGGAGCTTTGCTCTACCGACGAGGAGCTAGGGCCTCCTCTTCACAGTCTCGTCCTCCTTGGTCGAAGAACACACGAGCTGGAGCTTGACTACGTCCGGCAGTTTGCGGTTGACAAGGAGAAGTGGGATAGACTATGGAAAGCTGAGTACGGAAAGCAGCTGTGAACTGTTGCTAATGTTGTCATGAATTCGTATCGCCTTTGATAAAAGTCCTATCGTACAAGCGAGATTTGAATTATTCAGAACATTACTCTCGCGAAGCGCGCCAAGATCGCACATCCCCTTCCGAAATCTCCCTCAATGTGTTGGGCGAAGCAGGCTTGCCAGTGACGGCGCTGGAAGCAATGTCGGCAGCGCGGCTCAGCAGGTTCTTGGAAACGAGAGAATAGGTGACCGATACTGTCTTGACGCGGATGATTCCGATGCGAGGGTCATTTTCAGAACCATCATGGACACCGTCACCGAGATCACCAAGCCAAGCCTTGAGTGTAGGGCTGTAGTGCTTGGAAACAAGACTTCGATCTGTGCTAATACTAGCATTGCCAGCAATGGAAGCCCATTCTCCGGAGGCGTTGATGAAAGAAACGTTGACGTGAGGGTCAGCATCGAGGTCGTCGGTCTTGCCGGACTCCGTGTTGGTGTGGAAGAGAAGGTCAATGCCTCCAGTCTCCTGCAGTAGGGTCAGATAGAGTCTCAATTCCAATCAAAGGCACACATACTGTGGCAGCCAGCGCCATGCAGCGAGATACAAGGTTACCAGAGCCTGAGCCCCGGGTGGTCATCATGCCAAACTTCTCCTTGGTGATGAAGTGGACAAGATCCTCAATCTTGGTCTGGAGGGGCACCTCCTCGGCGTTTGCCTTCTTGTAAGGATCGGCAGGGGCATCGCCAGTGTTTGCGTTAGAGAAAGACATCTTGCTTAGTTTTACGTAGTGGGAGTGTTTTGGGTTGTTGATGTTGTTGTTTGAAGATAAGATCAAAGCTCAAGCATAAAAGCTGAAGCTTCGCCAGCAGATTTATATACCTCCTACCAAACAGGCTATTGCTTACACATCATAAGGTAGCATGCAAGCCATCATGGTACAATCGTATGCATTTCATCATCGATGTTCAGTCGACATGTAGGGCAATCGCAGCGGGGTGTTTGAGATCGAGCAATAATTAATGGTGACGTCAGCGTCCATGATGGGGTCCTGCACGGAGGCGTGAAGCTGTTGTGTCAACAAACCCCGCGTCATTCTGCCAAACAAGGACTATAGGTAGATAATATTGGATTTCGGTAAGATGATTTGGGGATCGGGCACAATGTCTACGTCTCAGTCTCACTGGGCTTCTGTTTCTTATAATTCACCCGCCTCCATGATAACGGGAACCAGCATCTCATGGCTGGCCCTGGTCTAATTGGTCCATTATTTAACATGAGGCTACTAAGATCTCCCTACCTTACCTTACCTATCTGAGTGCCGAGAGCAAAAGGAAACGAGTCTTTCCGTTGTGTCATCTTCCGTTCAATGCAGGTTGGCCAATACCGTTATGCAGAGACCCGCTCCGCTCATACCTACACAATGCTTGTTCATTGAGGGCGTCTGCATTGGATTGAATATAGTTTTGGTAATTCGTAGGAAGCCCTGCCAGTGTGAACCCTTGACTTACTGAACATGATTGCATATGAATAAGTACGATATCCTGAATGATTCTAGGGATATCTTCAGAGAGGACGCGAAGGATAATGTGACCACTGAAACTCAAATTGTCTCTTGGTAATTCATAACTCAACTGCAGTCGTTGAAGAATGATCGTTCGAGCCTAGCACGATCTTCGTCAAGGAATAGCATAGCAACCCTTGTGCTACAAGGCTCGAGATGCTATAGGCTATCTGTTTGTTATAGACTTCCGATAGGAAGCTCGAAAAAGAGCTTTGCTCCATCTGCAGCTACATTCCCTGTTATGGAGCCCGTTCAGCTTAATGGCAGTCGAGTGAGCGGTTTACACCACTGAAACATTGGGATGTTACTACTTGGCTGCAGTGCTTTCCTAATTGCAATTGACAGGTAATGAATGTTTGATGACGCCAGAGGATACTGCCATTGCCTCAAGATTCCCGGATGTTTTGTCTCCGTCTACCTACCAAATAAACTCTCTCTGTGGACCTTCGGAGATCTCGATCGCATGGGCTGCCACTTTTGGGAAATTTCAGTCGGCGAGCGGCAAAGACAAGTGCGACGGGTAGCACTCGCCCGGCGGTCCTTGCCTTATTAATTTTGTGTTGCAAGTGGTGCCTTCCTTAATCCGAGCCTATAACGTCACACGAGAAACAGCAGACTTTAGGGACGGGAACTCCACTCCACCCGGCTTAAGCAACCTCAGGTAAGAACATGCCGACCAGTGACTTCCCTACGCACTTCCCGTACACCAGCCCTCAACTTCCTCCATCCCAGACCATTCTGCTATCTACAAGCCAGCACAAACTGACACTGGAGGCATCGCGCCTTTGCTGTTGTTAACTGCAATTCGCAAATCCAATCGAGAGACAAGCGGATAGCATTTCCCTGGCCGGTTGTGCCTTTTCCACTCTTCACTCACTCGACTACCCTACTCCCCTCGTTTCCCAGACCGCATCACAGCAAAAGAGACAAACCCTTAATTCAGTGCCGGCGCAACAGGATTGCAGCATACCTACTTCTGCATTCTGTTCTTCTATTAAAGTCTGCCGGTTACACACTTCATCTTCTTTCCCATTTTATTTTCATCCACCCTGTCCATTGCCATCGACTGTACAAAGACCATCCCACCCATTTGTGGTCTTAGTTTCTGGCTAAGCTCACGACATCTTCATTTCACTTCTGACCAACGCAGTTGTTACTCGTCCGCTCTCGTTGACTGGAACTTGCGATCGTTTATTCGACGTCATTCGTTCAATTAGCCATCCGCATACGTCAACTATCGTCCAAACGTGACCATGACATCAAACACCCCCGCGGTTAGTACCTCAATGATATTCATCCTGGAGTTAGCTGACAAGTTACAGACGGCTTACCCGTGGGAATGCCGGGACAAGGAAGACCAGGCTAAGGCCGCCTTTAACCATCCTCTCCGCCGTGCAAATCAGTCTCTCACTGAAGAGAACATGAAACTCAAGCGTATTCTGCGCGAAAACGGCATTTCCTGGTCCTCTGTCGCTCTGAACCACATGAATCAAGACAATCCTTTGAAGCGCAAGACCCGATCTTCTATGACCGCTCAGGAGCTCGGTCATCCATACCTTCCTATGGAAGTCATTCTTCGTATTCTGAAGTTTGCTATGAAATCTCCTTTCCCAATTGTCGATCCTCTGTCCCCCCTTACACCTGAGAACATGTCTGACAAAGAGAAAACGCGAGGCAACCAGATTGCCATTAATTTCCTGGCTACCTGCAGAGCTCTTCACCTTGAAGGTACTCGATACCTGTGGGAGTCGAACAACTTCACTTTCACAACTCCTCAAGCTGTTCGCACCTTTGCCGAGCTTCCCGTCAAATTTCGTCAGGGTATTACGCATGTCACCTTTCGTGTTATTGCACGATACTATGACGATCAGCCTTGTCGTCGACACAAACTGGACCGCTGTTATCACGGCGATTTGAAGAAGGACCACGTCTTGAAAGTTCAGCAACGTCCAACCGAGTCTCCTCTCGTTCGTGGTGGCTTCCGGTGCTACACTTGGAACCAGATTGTCGACTTTCTCGAGGGGCTTCGTGCACCCTTCGATCCGAGTTACCGAAACAGGAAACAGCCACGACCACGAATGCTGCCTTCTCTTGTGTCTCTGCGCCTGGACCTGGTGAACTTTTCCGACACCCTTCTCCCCTTCTCCGGATCCGAGCTTCACGATATTTGCTCTCATGAACTCGGCTGCACCCTGAACGAGCTCCAAGTCACGGGTATGCCCTTTGATGATACTGGAATGAAAGCATCTGCCGAAATGAGCGGCATGCTCAAAGACGAAGGTTTGTATCTTGATGGCCCGGCTTCCTATATGGCTCACTCTAGGCATCTTCAACCTCTCTCTGGCAAGAAATGGTGTGCCCGAGTGATTCGAGCGTGGAAGCCCAAGGATGATGATGACGAAGACAGTGAAAACGATTCGGATACTGTTCATGGACACTCACACAGCCATGTCAGGCTTGGCGCTTTGCCTCCTGCACCCAACGAAGAGGGCCATCCAGCTTCAAATCGCGACGAAGAAACAGTCATTTGGAAACGAGTGCCGATCTCTAGAGACATGGAGAAGCGGGATTGGGTCCAGTTTTCTCGCTCTAGTGGATACGAGATTAGCGATGTCGATTGGGACAGCGACGAGGAGGGTATCTGCCCCTGTTGCGGAGAATCCCACCCAGGCTCGTCCTTCCTGGAGATTCTAATGGATGAAGACCTTGCTGACTGAGAATCAGTATAATGATACTATGGGACATTGGCGTTGAAATCGGGTAATCGATGATGGGGTTGTTACGAATTATATGTTTATGTCCGAACATGCTTAGATACCCTTACAAGCGATGAGGATGCTAATGCTTTTTGTTGTTGTTTTTAACGAACCGGAATGGAGTCTCAGGAACAAAACGGTATGGAGAATTAGCGGGATGGGAATAATGGGCATCATCTTTAGACAGGTCAATGGCCAATTATGTGCCCACATAGGCAAAGGCTGCCGGGATTGAAGGTGCAACATGGAAACACTGAATATGAGTGACAGATTGACGTTTTGCGACATGAGCAATTCGTATATGGTCTATAGGGGTCTATGAATTCGATCGCATTATGTAACAGTGGCAATATTATCATGGTTGATCAGATACCCGAGTCGTCCTGCTCCATCTTCATCTTGTGTGAGAAGTCGTTCCATGCTTTGCAACCTTCTTCGATATCCTTGTATTCCTGGTCCGACACGAGGCTTGGGATCTCGTCTTCTCGAACAACAAATTGTAGCGAGAAGCCTTCCGCAGCATGCCAACCTATATGGCAGTGCATGAGCCACACACCTGGATTGTCGGTGAGAAATGCGATCACAAGGTGCCCTTTGGCAGGTAAGAGAGCAGTGTCACGGCGTGGGGGGTTTTCTGTGTTGAGGGTGACATTTGAATCGTATGGACCGGGGCCTTGAGCGAGAATCTGAAAATCGAATCCGTGAAGGTGGATAGGATGAGAGATATCCTGCTCTGTCTCAATAGCAAGGTAAACCCAGACATCCCTTTTGGGAACACGAATGACAGCATTAGACTTAGTGAATGAGGCGCTGTTATTGAGCTTGAGGAGCGAGGGTTCGCCCCATTCTGCGATCATGGTGGTGCTGTTAAGCGCCCATTTGATGATGCCATCTGAGTTCCAAGAGCGGTTGGCGTTCTGTATGACTTCCATCTCAGGAGGTCCAACATTGCGAGGAACGACAGGTACAATGCTCTCGTAAGGCTCATCTTGGCAATGATCCTCGTGTTTGCGTCCTTTCGTCGTGGGTGTAGTGCTGTTCGATGCATAAGATACAATACCGAGCGCATTTTGAGGATTGACGTTTCTGGTGCAGTCAAGTTGGGGGATAGCGCGAAGCCAAAATGACGATGCCTTTGAAGCTTGGTTTGCCGTGACAAGAATATCCATACGTTCACCTAGAGAATATTAGAAAAAAGTACTAGGTAAGGAGTTGTGAGAACAGTACCAATTGCGAGGCTGATGTGGTCGGTTTCGTAGGGCTTAACTGCTACAAAGTCTACCGCAATGACTTTGAGAGTATGATGATCGATGGAAAACTTATATAGAGTATCAATCCCAGTGTTGATGAGACGTAGGCGATATGTCTTGCCCTCCTTGAAATCTAGTCTGAACCTCTCTCCAGTCTGGTTCTTATCGGTATCATTTCTATGGACATTAGTACCGTTGATTAGAACATTATCCATCAGCGCAGGACCCTCTCGCTGGACATCATGTAAAAGTTGATTGACAGTCTTGTGCGACCAATCGCTGAGCATGATGGTCCCAACATCCTCATCATAGTTGGCGCTTGCGGGACCACGAATGATCAAACCACCGTAAACACCATCATACGTCTGGAGCCCAAAATGAGAGTGATACCACGAGGTACCGTACTGGGTCGCACGCCATCTGTATGTTACAGAGGACCCTGGTGCAACAGGGCACTGGGTAATAGCAACAACACCATCGTGAGGGTTTGTGTAATTTTGATGAGTGCCATGGAAGTGAAAGGATGAACCGTTGGATGAAGTCTTCAGATTACTTGTCATATGAACGACAACATTATCGCCCCAGTCGGCAAATATAGTTGGCCCTTGAAAAGTTAGCTCCAGTTCGGCATATGATCCAAGTCTGCATTCTCATACCTGGTATCGTTCCGTTAATAGCTTGGGCGAATCTGGGAACTCCATCCGGAGCAAAGGTTATCTCGCTGATTTCAAGCCAGTATTCTCTCGTCACACCAGTATCAGGAACAACCGAGTAGTAATCACTGTGGATATCGAATCCACACCATTGGTCTCGAGTAGTAGGTGTGTTTCCAGAACATGATCCTTGATTCTGAAACTTGGAATTGGCGGGCTCCGGCAAGGCGGTTAAGGGCGAAGCCAAAGCGATGAGAAAGATCGAAGACAGTCTGGACATTGCAAAAGATGATTAAAGACTTTTCATTGACTTATTAATTTAAGCGTGAGTTATCGCCATTATGCCACGATGAACCCCTTCTTTTAAACCATTACTTCGACTCACGAGAACGGAACTCCCGTCACGAAGAACAGAGTCTTGTCGGATCACCATAAGCCGCAAACGGGATCAGCGAGATAAATTCTAGTCATATCGAATACAGAAATACCTTAGACCTCGTGGGAAGTCCTGTGTTGAGAAGCCACGGCGTCGAATCGCACTTCATCGGAAGGACCGAACATGTTGATGGGGTCGGCGAACGATCGATTCTGACGAGTTGTCTCCTGAGATTCACGTGATTCAATACACACATGAACTGGTTTCCTGGAACCTTGATTGTGATGTACTTTGTCATCCGTGTCAGGGGCTTGAGGAAGAGGAGCCTCAGGGCATTTGATAGGCATTGATTGCATCAGATCGCATCAGATCGGAATTGCCGAGCTGTCAACACGAGCTCATGGGAGTGCCGTTACTAGCTTCAACTTTAACAGAATTACATCGCTGTAAAGTTTTGAAGTGTTCAAGTATCGAAGACGTATGATTTGGCTCTTCCCATATGATAATATCGTCCTGAAAGTCTCTGGGCTCGCCGTATCCCAAACTCGGGTTTTTTTATAAGGGAAAAGAGATCACGTGAAAACTATCGCACAATGACTTCAAGGGTTCATCTGATATAGAGAATTGTTTGTTCTGACATGTGGCTAGCGCGAGGTCGTTGAGCGTCAAGGTGAGGCTCATTCATGTAAGTGAAAGTTATGGATCTTACCTGGATGCAAGGATAAGGTGACTAGACTAGGCACCTAGGAATGGAAGTTGATCTCCACTGGAAGGAAGCTTCCCGCCAACGTCACCTGACGTCGCGACTCTCTAGGCGCTTTGCGCTTTCTCCGGGCGCGCCCCTGCCTGTCGTCTCTTTGGGCGTGTGAACTGAAACCGCGACTCCCAATTTGATATACTTTCCTTATCTTCAACACAACTCAGGTTCGTGCAGTTCACAACTCACAACCTGCAACGAACGGTCCCTTTTAGTTCTTGGGGATTTGAGCCTGGTGCAAGAACTACAGATTTGCTTTCACCCGCTTTCAATTCACTTGTTTAATCAAAGGGCATAATCCATCGCCAGCGATAAATTCGACGTACATAATCAAACGAGATCTTCAAGGCTTTCATTTACCAGCGCACATCGACAACGCTCCAGGCCTCTCGGTGTATCTTCTATTCGAACGAAGCAACGCGAAGATGCCCCCCAGTCTGAAAGACAAAAGCGGTCGGCTTCTGGCTTTCGCCAATGGTGGCCAGCGAACGAACGAAGCTCAACCTGGGGTGGATATTAAGCCCACGAAGTCAGAACCACCACATAACGTTCCTCCAGCTCCTACACCTCGTCCTACTAGCTATCCTCGGGAGATCACGGGACTCGGTGCTAGAAACACCGCGCCTCCAAAACAGGACTATCCTTTCAGTCAGCCACCACAGCATCATTCACCAGTGCGCTCGATATCTTCCCCAAATGGCCGGATTAAAGCAGATTCAAGTGATCGCCGGGTCGACATCTTCTCTGGTTCGCAACTTGATGAAAATTTCATGGAGTCAGGTCTCACAACTCCGCACAACGAGCCATCCGATCCCATTAAGCTTGGGCCGGAGTTGACTCGCGATCTTAAGAAGACTATTCCGTCACACCGCCTCCCTGACCGCAATCGATTTCATCGACCTCCGCCGACAAGTGACTTGTTCACTGTTGGTGATGATCTTCGTATGAACGTGGTCAGTAGGTCACAGCAACACAATGTTGATCATATGGGCGATGGTTTCCAGGATGATGTAAGTGTGAGGCATGGAAAACTCAATGGCCATCACGGACGTGGCCGAACTCGACCAGACTCCCCGGCACGTCAGGACTTCAAAATCCCCATGCGTGAAGTGAGGATTCGAAAGTCACATTCCGGCCGATCAGAGGCCTACGACACGAACCAAGCAAGGAATCCATCACCCAGACGCCCTGAAACGCAATGGCAAACGCGCTACAGAAACGAGAGCTCCCGGCAGCCGACTGTCCACCGTTTGGATGATGAAGATGCCGAGTCCGCTTCTCAGGAGGAAGAACACACAACGCCTAGGCCCAAGCCTGCCAAGCCGGTGGTTCAAAGAGCTCTCCAAGAGAGCTCGATACCAGCTACGACAACCTTCATGCCAAACACTAGTCGCCTCGACAGAAAACGACGTCGTCCAAGCCCTGAGTACGACGACGTGGCTCTTAACTCTATGACATTTGCCTCACTTCGGCAGCAGCCTTTCGACTTTGACCCTTCCAAGGATGGGCAGAAGGTTACTGGAGTCAATGCTGACAATTTGGAAGATAAACTTGAGCATTTTCGTCATCTGGGTGAAAAGGAACAGCATGACCTGTTTTCCAATATGTCGATGGAAAATTGGGAAACCTCGGGAGAATGGTTTGTCCATGAGTTCAGCGCACTCATGCAAAAACTGCTGGATTCAAGAAGACAGAAGCGCAAGATCATTCAGGAGTTCGAACAAGAAGCAGCCGATCGTGAAGAAGCTGTCCGTCTCAAGACACAGGCCATTGACCGAAAGCTCTCTAAGATGAAGCAGGATGGCCAGCGAGTGGTGGAGGATAAAACTGCATAGATTATGCGTGGCGTATGGACAGAGTCGTTGGTTTTTCATTTTTCGGGAAATGAGTTTACGACCGATATGAATGCATTGTGCCGGAGTTGAGTCTGATTTACTCGATACCAGAGCGTGAGATATCTTTGAGGTTCGCAAGTCACCCTAGAGCAGGAATGAGCTCACGTACAGGGGAATTGTTTTTTTTAGATTCGCTACGATGGTCACATATTTGATGAAATAATATATAATTTCGCTGAAAACGGTCCAGGGCCGTGAATTGTTCATTAGTCTGTCGTGAAGGTTTGTTGTGTTTGGTTTGTTCGGGTGTGAGTGAAGGTGAGATGAGTTGGTTGCTGTGTCCCCCTTTTTTATACTCGTCGGACATGTTTTACTTTTCTGTCGCGGCCTACTACCATCCGCAATTGACGGCCGGGTCGGTTGGCCAGAACTCCTCTTCTCATCCTATCAGTATAGAGCTCATAAGCAGGATAGTATCCGTCAACGAATTTGACCACCTCCACAGATGTCATGCCCGCTTCCGGGTCACCCCTTTCCTCGCGCAAGTGGTCTTCTTGCTCTAATCGCCAACCGTAGACATAGCCAAGATCTTCCGCGTCGATTTGAATGAATGCGTCGAAGGAATCTGTGACGGAGTCATACTCGGCGAGCTTCTCATTTACGAATAGAAGGTCCTCAAGTTTATGTTGTTTGAGAGTTCGGTTGGGCATGTTAAGCCTCGCCTCAACATTCTCACGGGTCAGAGGACGGAAGCCTACACACCACCCCTCCAAAATGATGGCCTGGATCTTGTCCTGGCCTGGCTGATTCACAGGAAGCCATTCAGACTCTGGGAGGCGGTCACCTTTACCGCCTTTGATGGCTTTGTCATATTTGGGCAGCTTTGTAGGCTCTCCTCTTAGTAATGCCTCAAAGAAGGCTTTGAGGAGAGGCAAGTCGTGAGTTCCTGAGTTTGTTAGAACCCGCCTAGTCATGAAATAGTGTGATTTTACTTACCAGGCTCCCCACGATGCTGAACAAGGGCATTGTCAGGGTGAGCTTCAGCGAGGGCAACCTGATCCTGGCGAGTGAGATAGAACTCATCGATGCTACAGACAAGGGTGGGCACATGCTGGCTCTCGAGAGCCTTGCTCAATGCCTTGACAAGGGTCGACTTGCCGGCGCCCTGAATACCGTTGAGGCCGATGACAAAGGGGCGGTCGGGAGACTCTTCGCGGTGGAGTTTGAGCTGAGAGAGGATGAAGGGGAGGCAAATCTCAGTTTTGTCGTCGATGAAGTGGGGAGCCATGATTTAATCAAGATATGGATAAGCTACTGCGCATGTACAGGGCATGGGAGTGAGAACGATAGTACGGTATGGGTATTGATAGCGCAGCCATAGGATGATTGAGTGTCGGGTGTCACTGTCAGTCAATTGCTTTCTTTTTTCGTCGGGCAATCCAAGCCCGAGGAGACACGAGACACTAGAGGCACACACACACAGTTGGCACAATGACTGACCTTTTCGGGTTGATCAAATCAGCATCAGGCTTGTGGCCCGGCCTGGGCTTGGTTGATTTTGCGGGGAGGGAATAGAGGGAATTTGTGGGGATATGTCCGTAGCCGGACCCGGGATTGGAGGTCGGCAACAGAATTATACTTGTAAGAGGATGCGACTGAAGGGAAAGCGCAATAATATAATTAACGGCAAAGTACAGTATAATTCAATTCAACTTGGATACGTTATGTCCGTGAGCTTCCTGCTTATGTATAATGAAGAAGAAGGGAAACCAGACATTGCGTGTCGTAAAGAAACTGCCATTCCACCTCCAACTAAGTACTCAGTAGTAACCCACATGTAAGACTCAAAACGTCACTGGACAATACAATCTGACAAGACTTTAAGTACTACCCCAGATGTATTACTACGCTACCTACTAATTTATTCTCTTATACTCCGTACTGATTCAGTAAAGACATGTGACATTGGCTGCTATAGGGTATTTCCTCCGCATGACCTCATCTGCCGTCTCTCAGCTTTACATGTGAAGTCAGTCCCTTGCCAGACTCGGCCTAGCGTATTCCCCGCAACCAGTCCCCTCGGTACCCCATAGAAGCCGAGGCTTCCCCTTCACAAGGTTCCTTGGTATCCCCAACACGGTTTGAGTTGCAGGCCGGCCCAAGCTTGTTAAGAGCTGCTCGTTGCGCTCCCCGATTAATTCGTGTTGCAATTCTTCATCCTCATCCTCCCACTCTCTGTCTTTTTTCCATCCTCTTGAGCGTGTCATATTATACTATACCCCCTTACATATTCGAATACCACACCACACACGCACACACATACACACAATGGCGGACCAGTTGAGATATGACGGCCAAGTTGTTGTCGTCACCGGCGCTGGCGGTGGCCTCGGAAAGGCATACGCTACTTTCTTCGGCTCCCGTGGTGCCAGCGTCGTCGTGAACGATCTTGGCGTTACTTCCAAGGGCGAGGGCAACTCATCAAAGGTTCGTAAACCACCCAGCAAGAGCAAAACAGCTTCCTCCGGCGCAAAGCGCATAAAGCTAATCCCAGTCGCGATAGGCCGCCGATGTTGTCGTCAACGAGATCAAGGCCGCTGGCGGCAAGGCTGTTGCCAACTACGATTCAGTAGAGAACGGCGAGCGCATCATCGAGACCGCCATCAGCGCCTTCGGCCGAATCGATATCCTCATCAACAACGCCGGTATCCTACGCGATATCAGCTTCAAGAACATGAAGGATGAGGATTGGGATCTGATTTACAAGGTACACATCAAGGGCTCATACAAGTGCGCCCGCGCTGCTTGGCCTCATTTCCGCAAGCAAAAATACGGCCGTGTTATCAACACCGCCTCGGCTGCTGGCCTCTTTGGCAACTTCGGCCAGACCAACTATTCCGCAGCCAAGCTCGCCATGGTCGGTTTCACAGAGACTCTTGCCAAGGAGGGTATCAAGTATGGCATTCTCGCTAATGTCATTGCCCCTGTTGGTATGTTACAATCGCGCCTCATGAGCTCCGTACACTAATCCAAAATAGCTGCTAGCCGAATGACCGAGACCATCATGCCTCCTGATGTGCTCGCCAACCTGAAGCCTGAATGGGTTGTGCCTCTCGTTGCCGTTTTGGTCCACAAGAACAACACAGAGGAGACTGGCGGTATCTTTGAGGTTGGCGGCGGCCACGTGGCCAAGCTCCGATGGGAGCGATCCAGCGGTCTCCTCCTCAAGGCTGACGACTCATATACCCCCGGTGCCATTATTAAGAACTGGAACAAGGTTGTCGACTACTCCAACCCTCAGTACCCTACGGGGCCCAACGATTTCCTCACATTGCTTGAGGAGTCTATGATGATGGGACCTTCAGAGCAGGGCGAGAAGCTCGACTTCACTGGCCGTGTCGCTCTCGTCACTGGCGGTGGTGCTGGTATTGGCCGTGTCTACGCTCTGGCCTTTGCCAAGCACGGTGCTTCAGTTGTGGTCAACGATCTCGCTGACCCCGAGCCTGTGGTTGCTGAGATCAAGAAGCTCGGTGGCAAGGCTGTTGGTGTCAAGGCCTCGGCTGAGGATGGTGAGAAGGTTGTCAAGGCTGCTATTGACGCATTTGGCCGTATTGATATCGTCATCAACAATGCCGGCATCCTCCGCGACAAGGCTTTCTCCAACATGAACGACGAGCTCTGGGACCCTGTCCTGAACGTGCATCTCCGAGGTACCTATAAGGTCACCAAGGCTGCTTGGCCTTACTTCCTCAAGCAGAAGTACGGACGTGTCCTGAACACTACTTCAACCAGTGGTATCTATGGTAATTTTGGCCAGGCCAACTACGCTGCTGCCGTAAGTTCTCAATATGCTGCTCGTTGGGATAATTGCTAACGGTTATAGAAATGTGGTATCCTTGGTTTCTCTCGAGCTCTTGCTCTTGAGGGTCAGAAGTACGGCATCTATGTTAACACTATTGCCCCCAACGCCGGTACTGCTATGACTGCCACCATCATGCCCGAGGAGATGGTCCAGGCTTTTAAGCCTGACTACATTGCTCCTCTTGTCCTCGCTCTCTGCAGTGACAAGTGCCCCAACCCTACTGGTGGTTTGTACGAGGTTGGCAGCGGCTGGTGCGGTCAGACTCGATGGCAACGAACCGGTGGACATGGCTTCCCCGTTGATGTGACCCTCACCCCTGAGGAGGTCCTCAAGAACTGGAAGGATATCGTCACCTTTGACGGCCGTGCCGACCACCCCTCCAAGTCCCAGGACTCTATCGGTAAGATCATGGCCAACTTGGAGAACCGATCTAAGCCTAAGGAGTCATCTGGCGAGACCAACTACCTCAAGGTTATCGAGGAGACTCTCAAGAAGGAGGGCAAGCCTACCGAGTACAAGTACGAGGAGCGCGATGTCATTCTCTACAACCTTGGTGTTGGTGCCAAGCGCGCTGATCTCAAGTACGTCTTCGAGGGCTCAGATGACTTCCAGGTCATTCCTACCTTTGGTGTCATTCCTCCCTTCAACGCGGAGATGCCATTCGAGTTTGACAACATTGTGCCCAACTTCTCTCCTATGATGCTTCTTCACGGTGAGCAATATCTTGAGATCCGCAAGTTCCCCATCCCCACCAATGCTCGTCTTGTTACCCGAGGTCGTCTCCTTGAGGTCATCGACAAGGGTAATGCCTCTATCGCCCGAACCTCCACCACTACCGTCGACGCCAACACTGGCGAGGACGTCTTCTACAATGAGGCCAGCGTCTTCCTCCGTGGTGCCGGTGGTTTCGGTGGTCCCAAGCGCGGTGCTGACCGTGGTGCTTCCACTGCTGCCAACAAGCCCCCTGCTCGTGCCCCTGATGTTGTCGTTGAGTCACCTACCCACGATGACCAGGCTGCCATCTACCGTTTGAGTGGTGATTACAAGTAAGTTTTACTATCATCCGCCATTTGAATCATAACTAACATGAGTAGCCCTCTCCACATCGACCCTGCTTTTGCCAAGGTTGGTGGCTTCAAGGCCCCTATTCTCCACGGTCTCTGCTCCTTCGGCATCGCTGGAAAGGCCGTCTACGAGCGCTTCGGTGCCTTCAAGAACATCAAGGTCCGCTTTGCTGGTGTTGTAATTCCTGGTCAGACCCTTGTCACAGAGATGTGGCGAGAAGGCAACAAGATCATCTTCCAGACCAAGGTTAAGGAGACTGGCAAGCCTGCCATCGCCGGAGCGGCTGCTGAGCTCAGAACCGACGGCAAGAGCAAGCTCTAAACAAAATTCAGCACGATCAACGGAGTTTCTGCAATGGGATATGCATGTACTATCATAAAGTTTGTATTGTAGTTGAGTGATGTGATTCTTATCATGTCCTGTTTTGCCCAATCTTATATGCCAAATTCAATACCAATTTCTTAAACTTCTAAACCACAATACGCCCTGTGCCCATCGTGATGTTTATATTTGTGCAAGTCGTTAAGCCTGCGCCTGAAGTCCCAATGAGGCTTCATTGGAACCATCTTGTTGTCCGCCGTCACTGGAAAGGAAAAAGAGAAAAAAGACCATAACCTTTAAACAAAAAGCGTTTCTACGACCAGATCCAACACTTCCGAAAGAGCGGGAATGCGGCCGCTGAAGAGAACACGCTCAACACTTACGTCCATCCTATTCGCCGCGACGCCTGTTTCAAGGAACGCCCGCTCGGTACCTGATAATTCTCGGTTCTCCATGTCTTTCCACTTGCGCTCGGCCTCTTCGCGCGCGGCTTGCAAAACCTGTTCTGTATCCTCAGATTCCCAGAGATTGCACCTGTCACACTCCTTGCAGGGTGTTGCATCGCCTTCAGGGCGGAAGTGATCACAGAAATGGCGATATCCTTCATCAGTGAGGTCGGCGCGACAAACATAGCACATCTTGTAGCCGCAGGGACACGTAAGTTTATTGCAACCAGCATTCTTGACGAAAGATGTGTTGCAGCGGGGACAGACGCGCTTTATAGCCATGCTCATGGCCTGCTCGACCTGTGTGCGTAGGGCGAGGAGCGAGGATTCGTTGCATACGTGGATATCCTTCCACGACTTGTGGCATGAGAGGCACGACATACGACCGCAGCTGGGACTTTGGCATATAAATTTGGTACCGCGACGACGACGACGGTGACGGTTAAGGGCTTTGGACCACTCCATTGATATATAGTCGCCAAAGGACTGCTGTGTGCTGAGAAGGAGGCAAATGAATGAGGATATGAGGACGAACGGGAAGACAAACGGGAGGGTGCCGATACATAGAACGAGGAAAAAGAGGTTGTAGATGCTATCTGACTTGATGCGAAGAGCAGATTCGTGCGCAGGCGTGTATATGTCGTCTATCTCGGCATAGTCACAGAAGGGACACCGGACCAGAGGGAGGTTGGATGCCAGAAGGCTGTGCTCTGCTAGTCGGCAGTCAAGCCTGTGCAAAATTTCTGCTCCCATCTTTTCTTCCTCCATGGCACGGCGGATATGATCTGGCGGGATATGTCCAGGGCATCCATCGCCGTCTGAAGAGAGGCACTTGAGCGTCCCCGTTTCAGGGTTGATGCTGCTTTGCCACCCTTGTCCGAAGACTGCTTCTTTGATGGAGTGCTGTACACATCGGTAGCAGACGAGATGGCCCTCGCGGTTGCAGTGGGTAAACTCCTCGAAGGCTGCTGATATGAAACAGCAGACACATTCATGTGTTGCATCTGCCATTTCGGCCTCCTCGTTGTTGAGGATGACTGCAAGCCCCCTGTCTCTATCCTCTCTGTCCCTCCTGTCCTTCTCTTTCAACGGCGCCACCAAAGTATCGTACAGTTCGCGGTCCAGTTCTGGGCTGCCTGTGGCTCGAATAGTGGGAGTAATGGAGCCGTGGCCGGTTGAGCGCCACGATACCAGTGGGTGATTCTCAGCCTCTCCCGTAGCGATAGGCTTCCTTCTGAAGAACAAGGACGATATTGTGAAACGCCATGATTTGGAGGATAAAGTAACGAGGGTCTGGCGGGCTTCGAGGTAGGAATAGTTGGACTCGGCAAGAACAGCGTTTATGGTAGACCGCGACAGGCCTTTGAATTCATGCCATGCCAGATTTTGTACTGCTCGTTTGTATTCCTTGCTCTTGAACACCTCTGCTTTGGGTATTGTCTCTGGTCGAGCGGTCTCTTTGTCGGGAACTCTCCACCGACCCTTGACCCACGTCACTCTATTCTTGAGCAGCGCATCAGCCACAAGAGCGAGCCTCGACTCGCCGTCGAAGTTTGACAACAGCTCGCGAAACACTTCGATCTGGATATCGGGAAATACAGCGGCCAGAGCCTCGAGGCTGTTGTTGAGTTCGCGCAGGTCAGGTCTCTCGGGTGGCAGGCATGGCAGTTGGGCTTCGTCGTAGATGTACTCGGGCTGAACAAGGTTGGAGTCGCTCGACTTGGACCGGACAGAGGGCGTTCTGGTTCTATCGGTGGAGGCGGAGGTGGAGGTGAGCAGCCCGGGGAAAACCATCGTGACTGCTCATTCTGGTGCGTGTGCGCGTGAGGTTTGCTGATGGAAGTGATAAATGGCGGTGGTAATGGTTGACGGAGGATTAGGTAAGGTATTTTGAGGCGTTGAGCTGAGGAATGAGGCTTGCTGTAGTTGGTTGGGGTGCAGAGCTGAATATTTTTTTTTTACCAAGAAAAATCAAAGGGGATATTTGGATTTACTCAAATGCATCATGCTATTCATTCAGCAGTTCCGCATCGTGACTGTCTAGAGGTAGCTGAATAAGTCTCATAGGTACCTAGTCAAAGCATAAGTTGCAATAGAGCTTGTGAGACGACTGACTGTAGGTTGAAACAACACAGGCTCGAATGGGTAATCGCCATTTATCGACCTACTTGACTATGGAGTTATTTCAGGTTTCAGAGACTAGAGCTTCATCAGATGTGAAAATGTGTCTTTATTAAAGGGGAACAGAGCCTCATCTTTGACTTATGGCTTGTACTAGTTCTTCAGTTGTTTATACTAGAAAGTGTAGAGTCGCTTTGATCATGAGAAGTATAATCGGAAAAACAGCTACATCAACGAAAAACAAAGGCATGATTATTTATTTGTCCTATATCAGATACACTCAACAGTTTGTACCGTCCTCTGCACAAGGGACATAATCAAATTTAAAGTGACTCAATGATGAAGTTATATTAAAAGCAGAAAGCAGATAGCAGATAGCTACAAATGGTGTATCATAGACTATTCTTCGACCTTCTAAATCAACATTATTGAACAAATCAATTCGGTCACGGCAAAAGAACGTAAGACCCAAGAGGTCTGGTATTTACTCATGCTGATGCTTGTGCCATATATGCTTGTGAAATAGCCAAAACTCGATCTCTTCTCATAGTGAACAGGAGCCTGCAACCTGATTCGAGAACACAAGACAGGCACGCATGTAAAGTGCCAGCCCCGTAGACTAAACAGCTCAGAAAGGCAGGAGAAATACGGATAACTATGCCATGTACGCAAACCGTCCAAGTGATCCGCCGTTGACGCACCCCACGCTTTGGTTGGTAACATTGACGGAGATGATCACCACACCAGATCGACAACCCCGCAATGTTAACTCATCTCGAAACTATCAAGGCGACAGAATCAGGGACTTGATTGTCCCTGGCTCACCTCCATTCTTAGAAGTAGAAGGAGCTTAGGCGAGAATACCACGACAATGGGCGGTCAGACAAGGTAGCTCGTGTGTTGTAAAGCCCAGAAACTGACTCGTCAAATCAGGAGAATTGCTGCGTAAAAACTGTCACAACACTCCGTATTACTGAGTAATAATATGAAGGTGGCAGCGTGGGCGGCTATCATCATCATCTCGAAACCGCCGACTCAAAATTAAGATTGCAGAATGCCTGTTTCACGTCACTCTGCTGCACAATAAGCACCGTTCATCTGCGCAGTCATCCATCATATCTGCAGCGGTGCAGCCCTTCCAAAAACCCCCTCTAATCTCTTCGATCTTCAGTATGCACCATACGACATGCTTGATGCAGGCACGGGGGTTTGTGACCAAAGTCCCATCATGAAGTCAATGACAGGTCCGAGGCTTCGCAAGCGGTGAGATGAAGTTGACAACATCAGAGGTTAGCGCGCCGCCAGGGTTTTAGTTAGACCTTGTCTGCTTGTGCGGCTAATAATCGATCATTTCGCGCTTAGAAGGTTGGATGAGTCTAGCAATGAGTTTAGAATAATTAAGTCAGCCGTTGATTTCGATAGCTTGGCTGACGTGAAGCCCTGTGCTTTGATATAATCAATCAATCAATCAATCAATCACATGCTGAAAGTATTTAATGGCAACTGAGTTTGGAGAGGTCCAGGAGCAACTCAACATCTTGCAATATCTCTCTCTACATGAGACTGAACTATAGATCTTTGTCAGATCCGCAGCCAGTCAGTCGTTCCTTGCAAATGCAGGCATTGCAGGTCCATTTCTCGTTGAGGATCTCGCTCCTTGTCAGCCGCTAGTTCTGTATTACCTACATCAAGCCCGCTAGACCACTTGTCAAGGACTCAAGCCTCTTGGACATCAAAGCTTGCACCCGAAATAGTCTCAGCGGTACGTGTATTGCAGCGTTGAGATTGTGCGAGACCACGACTACGTATGTACACGGAGTCCTACCGGCAGCGCCAAGTCCGAGCCCTGACATGGGTTTTCAGGGATGACGACGATCTTGTCCCGTCATTGTTGGCTATGCTCAAACAAGCGAAGTGAGTGAGAAAAAGGGGTCTCTCGGCGAAGGGCTCGGCACAAGCCAACAGTCAGCCAGTTCCACTCCCTGGGAGGGGGGGGGAAACTTGGGAAGCACGCGACTTTGTGCAGGATAAAGCCCGTCGTGCATAAACTGCTGTGGAGGAAAAAGCAAATTCCCCATGATATGATGATGTGAGCTTTGCATTGGCTCCAAAAAGTTGGCATGTGCTATAAAGTGAAGTGTGCATGCATGGGATGTTTGGTGTTACATTGAATATCTAGCGGACAAAGCCAATCGACTGATGATCACTGATCCGAGAAGACAAAAGGAAAAACCGTTCGCTCGTGGCGTCTGTCTCGGACGAATGATGTTGCTGAAGCGACAATAAACCGAGGGTATATTTTTGGCTCCCAGATCTACTGGTACTATGGGGCACTGCCGCACCTTGTATGATATTACGAGTACTGGAGCTGGAGCTGGAGCTGAAAAGTTTTGACTTGCTGGCTTGCAAGTACCGTACCGTTCAGCCAACAAG